GTCGCCCTGTCTTCTTGTTTTTCAGTTAAAATGACGTCAACACAGAGTAACGCTGTGTGTTTCTAAGCATTTCAGGGGAATTTTTAAGAATGATAAAATTAGCCAAATATTTAGACAAACACTATGAATGCAGATATCTGTACATGCTTATCAGTATGAATATTCGATATATAATTTATATAATTTAGTTAATAATATAATAATAAATAAAAGAATTAACCCACAAATTTTCAAACAATTTAGATAATACAGAATTATTAGCTTTCAAATCAGCAATAATTATTATTACGAATAGTTTTTATTTTCATAATATTACTTTGATGTCTGCTTGTTTTTAAGAGGGTTTTATTTATAAGAGGGTATATTATATTGTATTGTAATATATATCTATATCTATATCTATATATAAATAAACAAACAAAAGATGGCAGGTAAAGTTGTTGTAGTTTGAGAATAAATAAATAAATAAGCAAGCCCTGGTCCATCCCTCCAGCGTTTTCTGGTTTTTGTATGAAAGAGCACATGCACTACAAGTTATGACAGTGTACAATAAATCTAAAATGGGGATCAAAGAATATAAAAGCATGATGTCATATGAGAGCAGAAAAATGACCTCACCTAAGTAAGTGATCTTAATAGAAAATATGGCATTAAATCACTAAAATGATTTTAATGTTATTATTGGAGCCCCGTTTCCTGATTGCATTATGTAAATCCATTCAGTGAAAGAATGTGCTCGGAAATAAAAAAAACAAGACATTGTGGTATTCAAAAACAAGGAACTTTATAGTTGATGTCAAAGACAAACGTTAGAGCAAAGGTCCCAAGAAAAGTTCTATTGTAACAATGGAAAAACAAAGTGACAAAAATAATATGCATTTCTTACATTTTGTAAACCTAGAACTGTTCTCGAGCCACAGTGGTCACAGGTATTACTGGCTGATAAGTGTTTTTTTTCTCCTTTTGGACAAACTGAAGATATATCTGACAAGCATCTGGAAAAAGCCCTTTGATGATTCCAGATGTTTCTAAAGGAACGACCCTAATCTTTTCCTAGTCTTCCTCCAGACCCAAAAATACGTCCCGAGGAAGAGTAGAAAAACCAGAAAAGAAACGAAAGACAGTCTAACATGTGGCATAGTGTGTAGTTCACCTAAAACAATGCTCTACATGAATACAATAAAGTCTATAGTCTGTATGTCACAAGTGCTAGATAACTTTCTTGTTGTTGTTGTAAAATATTCAAAAGTCATTTTTCTTTCATTCCATTTTTAAACAAGTAAAAAGCACATCCGTCGGACACCAAGAGCATCAATCCGTCTGTGTACTGACCAGAAACAGAGGAGGAAAGAAGAGCTTCCATCCCATGCGTTCTCCAAAGCCTCAACCCTCCCGTGTTCCTCCTTTGTGCAAATATGTTACAAGGACAGACAGGCATGCTGACGCACAAACCATGCAGAAATCTACAGCTGTGAAGGAAAGAGAATGAAAGAAACTTAACCCTGGCCTGCAAATAAACAACTGGCCAGACCTCATGGCAAATTAGCAGGAATGACAAGAAAG